TGTGGCCAGCAGTCCTACATGTAACCCACTACACCCTCAGGGATCCTGCACACTTAAATATTACATTACAGCCTAAAATACCCTTTAGGGCCATTCAACTTTGTCTCATGAGATCAAAATGAGTTAAAATTGACTCAATAGTACCAATAAAAATAATACCTGAACATGAGAGATTGACTATTTTATTAAAATAAGTTACAGACTAGTGATATACTGCACCAAGAATCTAGATAAATGCCTCCCCTCTGTTTCTGATCCTCAAAAATATTTCCCATGTAGCTAAACTAAGTTGTTAATAGTAAATCTTAAATATATCGATAAACATCAGCATTGCTTAGAATTCTCAGTATGTTGTCTTGCAACATCTAATTTTTCTCTTGTGTTCATTTGCCCTATGTTTCATTTAAAATTCTGTTGATGTTTTCAAAAACTATTTTTTGCTTAGAAGAGTTGAGACATTACAGATTGAATGCTTGCAAACTTTTTTAAAAAAAAATTGTTGAGAGATTCCATTCATAGATTAAACATAGCCCCTTCAAGTCCTGCTCACATTAAGTGGCAATAATAAATTTGGGGAACTTACAAAAGCCCCTTTGGGAAAAATAGCATGATTTTTTTTTTCGGTTTAAACATCTCCTTTTCTTGGTGTTGCTTTAAATAGAGCACACAAAAAGCTAGAATATGGCCAACCTCTGGTGGCCAAGTGGGTTGTGTGCTGGTCTGCTAACCACAGGATAAGCAGTTTGAAACCACCAGCTGCTCCACAGGAGAACGATGAGGTTTCTACTCCCGTGAAGGCAACAGTTCTGACACCCACACGGTCGGTTTGACCCCGGTCTCTAGGGCCCCAGGAGGTCAACACGCCTCCAAATGGACTCGATGGCAGGACGTTTGGTGTGGACAGATCTTTGAAAGGGAACTAGTTTCTTTCATACACAGAGGCCTAAGCCTGACAGTCCACAAGTTTCTGAGAGACATCCGATTTTCCTTCCTCAGACGAATCTCAGGATAGCAGGAGAATATAAGTTTTGAAAATAGAACACTTCTTTGTTTTTATTTATTTGTCTTCCCACTTTAAAACTGGTCTTCTCTCCAGCAGCTACTAGGTGGCTTACAATGCCCTCTTCAGATTGGAGAAGTGAATGATTCCTGATTGATGTTGGTTAGACCATTTGAGACAGGGGATGATTCTTTTCAACTGCTCAGTCCCTATCAAGAAGTGACACTTGAGTCTGTAACACTTGAGTCTGTATATTTAGGATTTCTAATGCAAACTAATCGAATGCCATTCCTTTATCCACCAGATATATAGTGAATGTATGCTTCAACTCAGAAATTATTTTAGGTGCTGAGAATTGGAAAGTAAAACTAAACAACGACTCTGTCCTTGTAGAATTTATATCTTAATGATAGGAGACAATAAATTAGCTAGTAAATTAATAAAACAATAAAATAAAATATTGTAAAACACATTTATATCAACAAACAATAGAGCAAGGTGTAAAGTATTATACGGGCTATTAGTACATGCTAGGCGTGGTGGTACAAGTTTGATTTTTATGCACTAAAGAAGGGAGGGAGGGAGCCACCTACCTACTTGTCCCAAGCCAAAGGCACACTGAGTTCAGTGACCCTGAGTTCAAGCAAGCTTGTTCTAGTAGGAGAGGCTGCAAAGAGGCAGGGTTGGCAGGAGGTGAATTAGATAAGATTAGTTCAGAATGATAGGAGGAAACAAGATCATTAGAACTGATTGGCTACTAGGTGAAATGGAAACTGTTGAAAATTTTGAGAAGAGGTATGGCATAAGCTGCTTTAAGTTCCAAAGCACTCTACCTGCTACGTGGGACCTAAATGATTGGAGGGCAGGGTTGGAAGCAGAGAAAGTATTCAAGAAGGTGTTGAAAGAATCCAGAGTGGTGGCTGAGAGTAAGCTGGGAGCTGTGGAGGTGTTGAAAACAGTCAGATTGGGGATATATTTTAAAGGAAAAGTTGACAGAATTTGCAATAGGCTGGGATGTTGAATGAAAATGGAAAAGATCAAAGATGACCCTAAGATTTTGAGCTCAATCCACTGAAATAGTGGAGCTCTCACTGTGTCTACGATGGAAGAAACAAGCTAATCAAAAGAGAGGGAGGATGAGAACATCAATTTGCAATGTGTTGATTCCATTGAACGATCAAATAGGCATTTAGGTCTATGAGCCAGTGGGTACCAGTACAGGAGAAATATCCAGATACAAATGGTAGTCATGGAATGACTCAAATGTTTGAGTACTTGACTCCTAGCTGAAAGGGGGGTGGTGGGGTGAGTTGTTGCCCAAAGGCCACAGCCCTGAACCCCCAACGGTGCACATGTGGCACCACCGCGTCAGGATTAACTCGAAAGCAATGAGCCAAAAATAGGGATGAACTCACAAATTGTTAGATGGCAGCTGCTTCTAAATCCATAATTCTATATTAAATCACATAAGAAGTACGAGTAGGGAGAGAAGGTAACATATTGACCTCTTCAACCATGCGCCATTTCTAGACTCCTCAAAATGGGAAGGCTCTACACAAAGAGACCTAAGGGACTATGTGCAAGTAAGATCCTCGGCTAGATTACAAAGATAAATCTGAACATGGATATCTATGTGTGTTTGGCTCCTTGTTTAGAAATTTTATAAGAACAGTATCCTAATATTTGACAAGTCACAAAGCCCCTCTGGATCACATTTAATTCTCCCAGAATATTTAAGAAGTAGGCACAAATTGGGAAAAGAGTCAGATTGATTTGCACAAAAATACTTGTATCCTTAATATATTTCAGGCACCGAGAAGATAATAGTTTAGTCAGTTCTCAAAACAATCCAATAAGGGATATAATAATATGAGGGGCTTCAAAAATTGGGGGAAGATAATGGAATTTTCCCATGAGCTCTTTGAAGGCCCACAGCTACTAAATGGAAATTCTGAGATTAAATTCCACATCTGCCTCAAAGAGAATTCTCACTTTTAAAAAAAATCCTTTTATGTGGGGCGCATACAACCTTTATCACAATCCAGATATCCATCTATTGTGTCAAGCACATTTGTACATTTGTTGCCATCATCATTCTCAAAATATTTTCTTTCTACTTGAGCCCTTTGTATCAGCTCCTCATTTTTCCCTCCCTCCCTGCCCACCCTCCTTCACAAACCCTTGATAATTTATAAATTATTATTATTTTATCATATCTCATACAGGAAGAAGGCGAAACAGCAATGTAAGCCGGCTATTTAAATTGTATGCTAAAGAAAGTAGTTTGTTCCTAGAAATAAGAGGAAAGTCTTATTTTCCTTTCCGGTAAAGAAATTCACACGTGAGGTTCTTGGGAAAATGAAAAGAGAGGCTGGCAGGGTTGGGGTTAGACTCTGGCTTCATCATTCTCAAGCTATGTGACATTAGAGACTTAACGGCATTCAGTAGTCTTTTTTTTTCCCCTGGGGAAAAAAAAAAGGGGGGTAGGTGGGCTTAGAAAGCCTGTCTGATGCATTCACGAAAGGTCAAATGCCAAATAAATGTGGAAGTGCTGTATAAACTGTAAAACATTATACACACAAATGCAACATATTCTTCTTACCATTGTTGTATTACAGCAGTATAGAGTCCGCCCAAATACACCCTTGTTCAAGACGCTATAGAAAGCTGTACACAGGGATGAGTAAAATAGATGTGAGTAGGGATGAAGGGACAGAGTCAGAAGGAGAGGAGGCGAGAGAGAAGGGGAGTGGAAGGAGGGGAGGGAGAGATGGGGGTCAGGGAGATAAGCTGAGAAAGGGAGAGGGTGGAAAGGGAGAGGGAGAAAGAGGAGAGAGAGGAGCTCACCTACTTTGAGTCTGACTAAGAGCCCAGGTAGAAGTCCTGTGGGACAGTGACCTATGAGCTGTACCAGCAACTGCCAAGATCAGCAGTTTGAATCAACCCGGCATTCTGTGGGAGAAAAAGGAGGATTTCTGTGCCTGTAAAGATTTACTGCCTTGAAAACCCTACTGTTTTACCCTGCCCTTAGGGCTCTCTATGGATCTGAATTGACTTGATGGCAGTGCATTTGGAGTTTGGGTTTTTAAAGCCCCAGTTACAATCCTCCGACATGACCTTGACATTACCTCTATCAATCTTAGGGTTGTAGTGCATTTGGAGTTTGGGTTTTTAAACCCCAGTTACAATCCTCCGACATGACCTTAACATTACCTCTATCAATCTTAGGGTTGTAGTGTGTCCACATTGTTGCCACCCATATCATTCACCCTCACTGCCAAAACCCATTATCATATCAACGATGGATACAACCATCATCCCCATGGAGTCAAATATTTACAATGGGTAAGGGTAAACAGTGATCAACTGTAAAAGTGATCGCTGTCTTATGGAGAGGCAAGGATGTGTGTCGTGTTTACGTGAGACCCTTCTTGTGGAGTTGCAGACACCTCATCATTATTGTTGAAATGAACAGAGAAAGTAAATAAGTGCTCTACAGTCTTGCCCATGTTGATCACCGCGGAGAGCATTTTTATAGCTCAATTTCTCCAACAAACATCTCATAAAACTCCAGAGCAGGGAGGGTGGGGGAAAAGTGAGGAGCTGATGCCAAGGGCTAAGTGGAGAGCAAATGTTTTGAGAATGATGAGGGTAACGAATGTACAAATGTGCTTGACACAATTGATGTATGTATGGATTATGGTTAAGAGTTGTATGAGCCCCAAATAGAATGATTAAAAAAAAAAAAGACTCCTGGTAACGAGTCTTCTCCCAATAACTTGACTTCACCGAAGGAATCATTGCCACGAAGAAGAGTCGCACTATGTTATATGACAGCCATAAAGCAGTGGTCAAGATGGTGGATGCAGTCACCCAACAAATATAGCCAGTCCCTTGTCCTATCATCAACACCAAAATCATGTTTCCACTGCTCTCTGTTTGCCTATCAGAACATGTACTAACTCGTAGCATTCCCTACTTCTCTGTGACTTTTATTTAGATGGAAAGATAATCCAGCAATGCCTATGGGGCTGATATATGAAGGCGTTTCAAAAGAGCCCCTGGAATACTCTGGAGGGAGCGCGGCTCAGAGCACAGTGCTGCAAGCCTTTGATGAGTTCTTGGGCATTTGCCATAGCACGGAGAGTGGTAAGTCAGACATCTTTCTTCTTAATAATACAGAAAAAGAAAGCAGATTCCAATCTACTAGTTGAGAAAACTAAGTGTAAACTACAACATCATAAAGTTTATATTTATCTAAGTCAACCTACATGCCTGCCATATGTTACTGTGTCTTGTCAGTTAACATCAGAGAGATCCCAGAAGGTACACACGTGACTGGAGTTTCACTTTCAAATCATAGAGCATTTCTTTTCAAAAAGTATTTGCTAAGAAATATCATAGAACTCTAAAACAAAAATATCAAAATGTGGGGCTCCTGTTTTCCACATATTCTCCATGTAGGTGGGTAGCCGGAGTGTTTCGGTCTCTCTAACCCTTCCTCAGAGAACTCTCTGCTCGTCGATTTGCACATCAAAATATCAAGAACAAGTTCCCGAATTTTTTTCACATCTACCAGTATTTTCTTTATTTTCTGTCATTTTAATAACGTTTTGTTGCTTTGTACATGATATTCTTGATTTAATCTGACTCATTTGATCTTTAATCATTAGTGTTTGGTGTGTCACACCTATTTGTGAGATGATCTCTAATTTAGGTGGATATATATTCAAGTTTGTAGTTTGGCTCCCATGGACTCCTTTCAATTTTCTTCAATTTCAATATGAATTTAAATATAATCAATTGAGGGTCTGTTCCATATTCAGTCACTGGCTTTATTTGGGCTGATGGGATTGAAGTTGTCTATCATCTCTCCCCACAGAGTTAGTCAATTTAATTCTTGTCAATTCCATCTGGCAAGATCTACATGTATAGCTACTGTTTTGTTGTTGAAAAATGTAATTACAATGATGAAGGTATTGGTCTTGCAATAGCCTCCTATATAGCCTATTGCTTCATTTCTATCAATAGGGCCACCTTTTCCAACTTTATCTTTGTTTTCAACTTTTCTATTCCAATCACCAGAAATTATCAATGATTCTTGATCGCGTGTTTGATCAACTTCAGACAAAAGATGGTAAAAGAATTTTTCACGTTTTTCATCATTGGCTTTAGTGATTGAAGTGTAAATTTGAATAATAATTCTATTAACCCATCTCCCTTTTAAACATATCAATATCATCCTATCACAGACAGCATTGAACTTCAAAAAGAAAAAAATGTTCTTTTTGATGATGAGTATGATACCATTCATCTCAACTTTTTCATTCCTGTAATTAATATACTATTATTACTCAAAATTTCCAGCTCATTTCCATTCACTAATACCAGGATAATGGTCTTTATACATTCTGTTTAAATTTTGATGGCTTCTAATTTTTCTAGATTCATCCTTTGTACATTCCATGTTCTGATTATTAGTGGATTCTTGCCATTCTCTTTTTCTCATATTGACTTGTGTCCCATCAACAAAGGAAAGTCCCCAAAGCTTTACTCCATGCACATCATTAAGTCAATTCTACTTTTCTCCAATCATATTCTCACTGCCTTCCAACCAGTGTGACCCTCTTCCTGCACTATGTCAGACAATGGTTTAATGCTATGCACAATATTTGGAGTGGCTACTACTTAAGAAATGATATCCCTACTCCTTCTTCCTAGTCTGGAAGCTCTGCTGAATCCCGTTCGTTATGGGTTACCCTAATGGTACTTGAAATTTCAGTGTCTTAGAGTCCAGAACCAGCAGCATATTAGCCACTACCATACAATCACCTGGGAAGTGAGTGGGGTTACCCATTTGAAATAATTTTTTTAAGCCTTTCTGAGCAAATCTTTGATTTTACTGGTCAAAAAATTAAGTCCTTCAAAAGCCACCACTTTGTTTGAACCTAACCCTCTGGATTATATTGGTAAACCCCAGATTCATCAATGTTAAGATTCATTCCATAAAACCATCTAATTCACTTCCGTCTTGCTTAAAGGACTGATGGCAAGACCTCTTCTCTGATCGAACTGATCTTCTCAGAATGTTTTGATCACCCATCAACCCAAAATGTACCAAAGACCAACATGATCATTTAAAATAGAAAATGCTGAACTACGTGAGGTCTCACTTTTAGTAGCTAGCTTATCAATAATAATTCTACTGTCTTTTCCACCAGTTTCTGTATTTCAACCAGTTTATTCATTTGTCGAGGTCGATAGTCTTCACGCTGCTGGTTGATCTTTGAGGTATTTCCAACCTTCCTTAAAACATATCCTCCATCTAAAAATTGTTATTTCATGTGGGCATCATTCCATAAACTTGTTTCAAAGCTTCAAGGATGTGGGACGATGTCTACTTGAGTTTGGGTAAAAAAAAAATATTAGCCCTGACCTCAAAATTATTTTTCTCATGGTACAAAAAAGGGTATCCCCCCCTTTTTTTTTCAAAGTCACTCTCATAAGATGAAAACAAGTGTATTACTGAAAGAACTTTTCTTCAGCCATTCACTGATCAGAGACACATTTAAACACATTTTGTTTGAAATAGATACTATGTAGGAACCCTATTGCCAATACTTTTTTACTTACCCTCATATTTGTAGCACAAGTGATTTCAATTTGGATTGTTAGGAAGTAACTTCCTTTCTGTGAAGAGGAAGCATCTGGAGTCAGAAGCTCTGGAATTCTAGCAATGATTCTAGGATCAGCTAGTGTTGTATTTGAGCTTCTCCACTCAAGTTCTTCCTCATACAAATGGTACAACTTTGAGTCAACTTAAGTTATGCCAGAAGGCATGATCAAGGGGAATGTAACAAAGAGGAAGTGCTGAAACCTTGGTGGGGACTGAGCATGGTAGTGGGACAGGAGGAGAATCAAGGGAAATAGAGGAAAGAGCTGGAGGCAAAGGGCATTTATAGAGGTCTAGATAAAGACATGTACATATGCAAA